CCCCCGTCACGGAGCTCACTGACCAGGACGAGCGTGCAGGTGAACCGGTGACATATCTCGAGCTGATTGCTGATTGATTGGTTTTGATTTTCAGTTTAGATGAGTGCCATTAAGGTGAATGTATTTCGTGGTTGGTGAGAATTGGCTCTCAGTAAGTATGTTCACGCTGAGCGGATAAACTGCGTGCTCATGTGTCGCCGTATCGACACGGCTCTCGCTGCAGCGACTCACGGGCCCTGCGATGGAGATGCCTGTCACGTGGCAACCAATGCACACGTGTTTACAACGCAGGGCTAACACAAGTCGTATTGAAGTGACGCATCACGTTTAATGTGATGCACTTCGAGTGTATTAACTCGCTACAGTTGAGAACCCGGTTTAGCCTCAACTCACTCTGTGTGTGTGTCTACGGGTCTCTCCGTTAGTCTATTGGTCTATGTATGAGTCTACGGGTCTCTGTGTAAGGTCTCATATCCACGTGGCACGACCTCTCCCCTCAAAGGTCGGAGTTCAGGTCAAGGTCACAGCGCTACCACAAGGGTCAGGATACAAGTCAAGGTCACAGCGCTACTACAAGATGCAGGGTACGGGTCAAGTTCACAGCGCTACTACAAGGGTCAAGGTACAGGTCAAGTTCACAGCGCTACTACAAGAGGCAGGGTACAGGTCAAGTTCACAGCGCTACTACAAGGGGCAGGGTACAGGTCAAGGTCACAGCGCTACTACAAGGGTCAAGGTACAGGTCAAGTTCACAGCGCTACTACAAGGGGCAGGGTACAGGTCAAGTTCACAGCGCTACTACAAGGGGCAGGGTACAGGTCAAGGTCACAGCGCTACTACAAGGGTCAAGGTACAGGTCAAGTTCACAGCGCTACTACAAGGGGCAGGGTACAGGTCAAGTTCACAGCGCTACTACGAGGGGCAGGGTACAGGTCAAGTTCACAGCGCTACTACAAGAGGCAGGGTACAGGTCAAGGTCACATCACTACTACAAGGGGCAGGGTACGGGTCAAGTTCACAGCGCTACTACAAGGGGCAGGGTACAGGTCAAGTTCACAGCGCTACTACAAGGGGCAGGGTACAGGTCAAGGTCACAGCGCTACTACGAGGGGCAGGGTACAGGTCAAGTTCACAGCGCTACTACAAGAGGCAGGGTACAGGTCAAGGTCACATCACTACTACAAGAGGCAGGGTACAGGTCAAGGTCACAGCGCTACCACAGGAAGCCCTGTCGATGGCCGAAGGGGCGAGAGAAGCGGGGTCGAGTCGGGGGTGTGGAGGAGAGTGGACGTAGAGAGGAGTCGAGTGGAGACAGCATTTCATTTATTTTTAGTCAAAGGTCGAGGGAGCGAGGTGGGGGTAGCCCACAGGGGGAATGGTACCAACGATGGGTGCAGGGACACAAGCAGACGGGGATATCTTGATAGGATGACACTGGAACATCGCGACAGGTGGACACAGGGCTACGGGGACACAGGTGTGATGGTCAGGTGGCACAAGGGGTGTGTAAGGGGTTGCGGTGACACGAGGAACGAGATGGTGCAGTGGTGCGGGGTAAGGAACACTGAAGACACGGGGACACGGGGGCAGCACCTGCGGGTAGAATCTCGCGGGGGGGGGGCGGGACGAGTTACGAGGCGCACCTGCCAGGCACGTGCGCGTGTTTGTCCGTGTGCGTGCCTGCGCGTGTGTGCGTGTGTGTTTGTGTGTTCGTGTACGCGCGTGTGTGTGTGTTTGTGTACGTGCGTGTGTGCGTGTGTGTGTGCGTGTGTTTTGTGTACGTGTGTGTGTGTGCGTGCGTGTTTGTGTACGTATGTGTGTGTGTGCGTGTGTGCGTGTGTGTGTACGTGTGTGTGTGTGTGTACGTGTGTGCGTGGGGAGCGGTAGTGTAGCAGTTCGCGCGCTCCCCTCCTAAACCGGCGACCCGAGTCCGACTCTCGCTCACGGCCAACACCAGCGACGATTATCTGAACCAGTCCCGGGCCTCCCCTTGGTCAACTTAGCCACAAATGAGTTCCTGGTGCGATGCGTAAAAAACATCGCCATTAGGGAGTCGAAAGCAGCCGTGCGTGGTGCTGGCCACCCACCCCCTCGTGTGCCGTGCCGGCCTTCATAGGTGCTGCTCGATAACAGCACTTGCCCCAGCAGTCTGTTTAAGGCTATACGGGGAATCTGTGCCTTTGTCTCTTACGTGTGCCTGTGATTATATGTGTGTTTGTTTACGTCGGTTGTAAATTCACTATTCAGTGCGCACTCGTATGTACGTATGTCAGTGTGTTTGTGCGTGCGCCTGTGTGTGATTTAGTGTTTGAGCGCGTGTGTGCGTGTGTGTTTAAGTAGGTTGTAAATTAACTATTTATTAGGCGCGTGTGCGTATGTGTGTCGGGGTGTTTGCTCCTGAGTGCGTCTGTGTGTATCTTACGCGTGTGTGTATGTGTGTCGGGGTGAGTGCGTCTGTGTGTATCTTACGCGTGTGTGTATGTGAGTCGAGGTGAGTGCGTCTGTGTGTATCTTACGCGTGTGTGTATGTGAGTCGAGGTGAGTGCGTCTGTGTGTATCTTACGCGTGTGTGTATGTGAGTCGGGGTGAGTGCGTCTGTGTGTATCTTACGCGTGTGTGTATGTGAGTCGAGGTGAGTGCGTCTGTGTGTATCTTATGCGTGTGTGTATGTGAGTCGAGGTGAGTGCGTCTGTGTGTATCTTACGCGTGTGTGTATGTGAGTCGAGGTGAGTGCGTCTGTGTGTATCTTACGCGTGTGTGTATGTGAGTCGAGGTGAGTGCATCTGTGTGTATCTTACGCGTGTGCGTGAGTTGGGAGAGCGGCAGTGTAGCGGTGGGAGCGCTGCGCGATGATCCCGGCGACCGGAGTTTGATTCCCGCTCACGGCCAACATCAGTGATGATCGTCTGAGCCGGGCATGGGCCTCCCCTAGGTCGACTCAGCTTAAAATTAGTACCTGGTGCGCTGTGTATAATTATCGCCATTGGGGAGACAAAGGCGGTCGGGCTTGGTGTTGTCCACCCACCCTCTCGTGTACCGTGCCGGCCTTCATAGGTGCTACTCGCTAACATCACTTGTCCCAACAGTCTGTGGAGGCTATATGGGGGATCTTTGTCTTTGTAGGGTGTTCGTGCGTGGACGTGGCAGAACGGTGGCGCTGTGGTTAGCGCACTGCGCAACGAACTCGGCGCCCCGAGCTCAATTCCCACTCACGGCCAACACCGGTGACAAATATCTGAAGCGGTCCTGATCCTCCCCTAGGTCGACTCAGCCTCAAATGAGTACCTGGTGTGATGTGTAAACATCGCCACTATGGAGACAAATGCGGCTGTGCGTGGTGCCGGCCACCTACCTCGTCGTGTTCCGTGGCAGCACTTGCACCAACAGTCTGTCAAGGCTACACGGGGCATCTTTATCTTTGTTGTGGGTCGCGTGGCGAGTCGCGTTTTGTGTGTAAGTTGAACTTCATACGGAGCCAACCGCGCGAATCGGAGGTGCGGGGGAAGGACAACAAACTAAACACAAGAAGCAGTCATAAATAAAGTATCGATTTAGATTTAAAAGTGCATAGCTCCAATGGCTTCCTGATATCGGAAGGAAAAGCGTTCCAGACGGCCGCAGAAGCGCATCTGAAAGCGCGCGATGCGGTTACCATCTTTGTTTGATGGCCAGCCATTGTACATGCTGGTGTTTTATGTTTAGCTTACACACGTTATATATGACACATATCATAAATTATTGCTACACAATGGAAGGCGGGAGGTGTGGATCGTGGGGTGAGCAGGGCTGAGGGGAGGGGGTCTCTGTCTCGCGTGTGAGCGCGCGCGAGTCCGCGAGTGAACTTTGCGTAAAAGCCGCGCCACGGCTGCTCGCGGCGCGGCCTCACCCAGTGTGCCCCATGCGCATCGCAGTGCGCATCATCATCATCATCATCCCTCATTGCATTAGTGGCGCAGCTATCGCGTGTGCAAGCGCTGCAACTACCCCGGGACCCCACGAAACGGAGGTGGTTCCAATGGAACGGGGCTGAGAAGGGTGGGAAATGGAACAGGAAGCCCCCAATGATTTCCCTCGCACCAGGACCGTGCCAAGCGCGCGACTCCGCTGCTCCTCTTCCTCCTGGTGCCTCTCCATTATTCTCGTTTGAGCGCGTGTGTACGTGCGTGTCTGTCTGTACGTGTCTGTGTGTGCATGTGCGCGCCTTTTCCTGTCTGTGCGTTTGTGTGCTTGTGCGCGCTCGACGGAGTGTGCGTGTGCGCATGCATCGCGCGCGCGCGTGTGAGTCATTCTCCTTGCGTGATACTCTGTCTCTCGAGTTGTCTCTGCAGGGTATATGTGTGTTCACGTATCTGCGCGTGTGTCTCCTGTGTATGTCTGTCCTGTGTGTGTCGCGCTCGCTCGCTCGCTCTGATATGGCCGCGCGCGCGCATGGGAAGTGCGTGCGCGTGTGTGTGAACACAAGGCGCACTCGCTCCGAAGTGGGGCCATATGGCGCTCGCCCGCTCGCTCGCTCTCTCTCTGAAACGGCGCTCATAATAAAATACATGCAACAAACAAAAAGCGATTGGGTACACACACACGGACACCCACAGGCACACACACGCGTACAACACACGGGCGGGCACACACACAGGGGCGCGCACGAGCACTAGAGACGCACGCTTCTCGGCACCCGCCCCCTCCTCCCACCACCGCGAAGATAAGGGCCGCGGCAACGTCTGCCTCCACACCTGGACCCTTTCGGAACCCGTACACGAAGGGGGCGATAAGCCCCGGACTCCAGAAGGCCCCTTCGTGCACCGCGACCTCGTGTCCCGCGCGCACGGCGCAGCCCCCCACCAAAACCCCTCCCCCCTCGCCCCCCCCCCTCGCCCCGTGTTTGGCGGCGCGTGGTGGGGCTCCACGCAGACCCCCTTCGGGGCTTCACCATCGCCTTTCGCCTCGGGAGTACCCCCTGACCACGTACGGACCCGAGAACGCAACCTCCGGGTGGTGCGCAGGGGGCTGGGGCGACGGGGGTCCCTGCGCGGCGCTTCTCCGACGAGGGCCGATTCTGTTCCCGGGGCGCGCGCGGCTCTGGGGGGTCGTGGTGGTGGCCCGGCTGCTGGGGGGTAGCTGTGAACCTGACCCCTCGCAGCCCGAGAAAGGGGTATGGACAAGGGGGTAAAGGGACGAGGGGGGAAGGGGGGGGGCTGGGGGGTTGGGTTGGGGGGGGGGGGTCTGTCCGCGCCTCGTGCCGCACGGAGTCATCGCGCGCTGCGCGGTCGCGGAAGCGCCTTTATAATTATTTCAGCGAAACCGCGCGGGCCAGGTGGGGTTTTTCTTCGCCTCTCCAGCTTTTGTTTGAAGGGCATTTGAAGTGGCCATGCAGACTTTCTGGGGGGGTGGAACTCGCGGACTTGAGCCGGGGCCGTCCCCGGCTCCGCCTTGGCCCCTCTCGGCGGAGCCACTCCACCCCCTCCCTGTGCCCGCGCCGCGTGCCGTGCGCGCACGCGTTCCTTTTTTGTATTTTGTGTCGCTTTACAAAGAAATAAAACAAATAACAATAAAACAAAATAAAACAAAAACACGAGAGAATGGCAAAGAAAACGAGAAAGAAGCGAGCGCGGTACGAGTGGGGGTGGTCGTGGGTGGGAGTGAATCGAGAGAGAGGGCGAGAGGCGCAGACACAGAGAGGAGCGCACACGTTTCAAATTCAAGGCCACAATGAGCGAACCTCTCGTGCTACCATATGGCCGTGCGCATTGAGCGCGGAGCGAAACGGGGGAGCAGAGGACCCCGGATTCGCTTCCCCTCCCTCCTCTCCCACCGGGAGGGTTGCGGCGCGCGAGGCCCCGGTCACGGAACGAGGGCGCGCGGGCGCGCGGCCGCGCGGGCGAGCGGGCAGGCCGCGGTGTCCCTCCAAGCCGAGTCGTTCCCGACGGCCTGTTGGTCAGATTAGGGGAACCGTCCATTCAATTCGCTCCCCCCCCACTCCAGCCACGTCGTCATGAGTTTTGCTCTACGATGGTGTTATCATCGCATCGACGTAAACTACCGCGACGCTGCTGACTCCGTACCAAGCCTGCTGCTCGTGCGCTACGGTGGAGTTACAGATTCCGCCCTCGGCGCAATCGGCATTCGAGTCCCCTCGTTGCAGGGAGACTCAGCAATGCCGGCGCTCTCTCCACACCGCTCTCTCCCTCTCTCTCTCTCTCTCGGCCGTATTTGGACGTTTCTGGGAGTGTTCGGACACCGACGGCACCCACAGCGGTTGCGCCCCTGCGGAGGTCCCCTCCCTTCCTCGCGGGACAGGGCGACTCGGCTACACCGGCAGGCGCCGTGGCTGTGCAGGGCGCGGGGCTGTACGGGGCGCCGGGTTGTGCAGGGCGCGGGGCGCGGGGCGCTGGCTGGGATGCGCCCGGCCCCTGCGACCGGCTCCTCGCGGGCAGCGTTCACGGGGCTCGCCGGGGACCGCGAGAGATAAGCGAGAGGCAAGGGAGAGGCAAGGGAGAGTCAAGGGAGAGGCAAGGGAGAGGCAAGGGAGAGGCAAGGGAGAGGCAAGGGAGAGAGGGGGAGGGGGAAGAGCGCGTGGCTTTAGAGAGGCCGTGGACTCAGCTGGAAGTCCACTGAGCCGTTGAGTTCTCGCGCCGTCCAATCTCGAAAGTCCCAGATCGATTCCCGGTCGCGGCGGTTCGGAAATGGTTAAATTAACGTCGCCAGCCCTCGCCCCGTGAATGTAATCGGAATATGTCATGGGAGTCACCGGCGGTGGGGTAAAGTGTGGGTATCATTTATTCTGCCAATTAGATTGGTGTGCGTCGAGAGAACACAGGGTGTGCCACCAGGTGTGCCACCAGGTGTGCCACCAGGTGTGCCGCATCGAAGGGGCGGGGGAGTGAGAAGGGGGTTGGGGCGGTAGGGAAGCTGGGGCGGGCGGGGGTCCGGGGCTGTGGTCGAACTTCAGCGTCCAGGGGACCCCGGGCAGGGCGCGACGGGGCCGGTCACACGGAGCGACGCCTTCTGCGTCCGTGCCTCGTTCGAGTCTCGCGCGCCCGCATCACGCCCACGTGGGTGTGACGCGGGTGTGTGGGGAGCGGTGGTGTAGCGGTTAGCGCGATGTGCTTCGAACCCGGCGACCCGAGCTACATTCCCGCTCACGGCTAACACCAGTGACCATTGTCTGAACCTACCTCGGGCCTCCCCTAGGTAGACTCAGCCTCAAATGAGTACCTGGTGCGGTGTGTAAAATCGCAACTGGCGAGACAAAGGTGGTAACGCGTGATTCTGGCCACATCACTTCCCTTGTGCCAGCATTAATAGGTGCTCTTTAACAGCACTTGCCCCAACAGTATGCTCACATTCTGTGCGAAGGGTCTTTTTACGACTATTATTTTATTATTATCACTCGTGGCTACCCAGGAAAGCCTCACTGAGTCGGTCTCGTGGCTAATTTTTAAGCGGGTCCTGCCAAGTTTTCAAAGTAGCAGATGAAACTAAACTCTTTTTTTTTACTAAGTAAGGCCCACTGAGCTATGTAGCTCTGTCCAGAAGCGACCTGGCCACAAATAATAGCTCAACGAAGTGGCTTATCACGTTGGAAATTTATAGCAGTCAAATACTCTAAATGCGTGATGTTGATTCTAAATGTGGAGGGAAAAACCGGAGGACCCAGAGAAAAATCCACGCGGCCACGGGGAAAGAGACACCACAAACTCCAGATATACAGGCGTTAGAGTCGGGGTCGAACCTGCGACCTCAGGTATACCAGGCGAGGTAGTTAACATCTCACCTCAACGAACCATAACCCTATTACGCAAATAATATCCCTAACGTTACGTAAAACTCTAACCCACAATAATAACCTTAACACCCTAACGCCGAACAACACTGATGGTATTCAGGGTACCTCTCATTGTTTAACACTAACCCGAGTTCAAAAACGAACCTCAATCCGCTTATCCCAACACGGATATTCATCCTGACTCCAAGCTTAACTTCAAGCCGAACCTCTAATCCCAAGCCTCACTGAAACGTGAACCCAATACCGAATCGTAACAGCTCGAACTCCGACTTTAACTTTAACCGGGACTCGAACCCTCACGCTAAGCTCGGGAGTGCTGCCCGCTGCTCGCAACTGAAGGATGCGAGTTCAAATCTCGATTGGGGGTCGGCTCAGCCCATCATCCTCCGGCCGCCGCACCCGGGGTCGATAAGGTCGATAAAGTCAGGATTGCTTTGTTGGTAAGTCAACAAAGGGTTGTCCAATGAATAGACTCGCCCCCGCCATATGAATGTGGAATTACTGCACCAGCGTATGGCTGCGAACAGGAGATGCGCACCGCCTCAGTGCTCAAGTGAGCAGGAAATCAACTTCCACGAGCGGCGAACTTAAGCTGAACCCTCAATGGAACCCTAAACACCCCAGCCTACCCCTACCCCCACCCCTACCCCTACCACCACCCTACCCCTACCTCCACCCTACCCCTACCACCACCCTACCCCTACCACCACCCTACCCCCACCCTACCCCTACCACCACCATACCCCTACCCCTACCACCACCCTACCCCTACCTCCACCCTACGCCTACCACCACCCCTACCACCACCCTACCCCTACCACCACCCCACCCTACCCCTACCCCTACCACCACCATACCCCTACCACCACCCTACCCCTACCTCCACCCTACCCCTACACCCACCCTACCCCTACCACCACCCTACCCCTACCTCCACCGTACCCCTACCACCACCCCACCCCTACCACCACCCTACCCCTACCACCACCCTACCCCACCCTACCCCTACCACCACCATACCCCTACCCCTACCACCACCCTACCCCTACCTCCACCCTACCCCTACCTCCACCCTACCCCTACCACCACCCTACCCCTACCTCCACCCTACCCCTACCTCCACCCTACCCCTACACCCACCCTACCCCTACCACCACCCCACCCCTACCACCACCCTACCCCTACCACCACCCTACCCCCACCCTACCCCTACCACCACCATACCCCTACCCCTACCACCACCCTACCCCTACCTCCACCCTACCCCTACCTCCACCCTACCCCTACCCCTACCACCACCCCACCCCTACCACCACCCTACCCCCACCCTACCCCTACCACCACCATACCCCTACCCCTACCACCACCCTACCCCTACCTCCACCCTACCCCTACCACCACCCTACCTCCACCCTACCCCTACCCCTACCACCACGCGCGCTGCGTGCCTGCTGGGTTTGGCAGCTGGGATCGGGCCGTGCATCTCTGTAGGCAGTGGGTGGGGGGCGATGGAAGTGGTCAGGGTGGCGGTGATCGTGTTGCTCATGATAGCGGTGATGGTGGTGATGATAACAGTAGTTTACAAGAAGCGGTGGTGTAGGTGGTGGTGGTGGTAGGGGTAATAGTTACGATGATGATGATTGCGGTGGTGTAGGGGAAGCGGTTCTGCTGCTGCTGGTTGGGATGCTGATGATGGTGGCGTACTCGACATAGGGTGTGATGATGGCGCTGTGCCACTGCTGGTGATGATGCTGGTGATGATGATGATGGTGGTATTCTTGGAGATGTTGATGACGATCGCGCTGGTGATAGTGGAGAGGGTGGCAGGTTCGTGTAGTTCGGGGAGAGATTTCTGTCCCGGGATGGACCGCGGGGGAGGGCATTGGGAAGACGTTTTCGGGGGTGAGCGTACATATGTGGGGGGGGGGGAAGAAGTGGGGGAGGGAGGGGTGAGCGGGGGGATGGAGGGGAGGGGCATAGGGAGGCAGCAGAGCGTGTCACGCGCTTTGTTTGGCGCGCGCTCCCAAACCCGATGCCCGGAGCGGCTCGCGCGCTTCCATTAATTAGAGACACGCGCGGGGCGGACAGCCCCTCCCCCCCGTCCCCCCGCCCCACCCTCCCACCCTCCCCCCGCCTCCCTGCACTGCGACAATAGGCTAACATTATTATGCTGATAAGATAAAGCATTTGGCACAACAGGGGTGCATGGGGGAGTGAGCGGGGAGCGAATCGGGCGGAGGCGGTGTGTGTGTGGGGGGGGGGGGTACGGATTGGGATGGCAGGGGTAGTGGAGGGGTTGCGGAGGGGAGAAGGGGACCCCACGGGGATGGTGGCGAGTTGGGGAGGAGGGGGTAGTGGGGGGATGAGTTATCCGCGAGCACGTGTGAAGTGGCGCGCGCACGCGTGCGCGCGCCGGGGGGTAAAGAGGGGCAGGGAGTAGGGGAGTGTGGGGGGGGCGTGGGTTTTTGGAATTGTGAGTGATGGGCAGAAGCGGACGGGCGGGAGGGGGGGTGGTTTGGTGGGGGGTCTGTGGGGGGTGCGCGGTGATTCCGCTGCTAATGCTGTCGCCTCGCGTGCGCGCGCGCCCCGGGTATTTAAGGCGCCCGGTGGAGTCGCGTGCCGCACAGAGAGGAGGAGACGGAGGAGGATAAGAGATCTTGGATCCACGTGACTGAACTCCCCGTCTTGAGCGCCGCCGCAGCAGCACAACTACCGAGGTGAGGAGAGAGACGCGGCGAGACCCCTGTCCCGTGGAGAACCTCTCCGCCTTCACAGCCACGTCTCCCATGCGGCACCTCTCTCTGTCTCTCTGTCTCCCCGTGGCCCTCTCGCCCAGTGAGACAACGCGCTCTGTGATCCGGCGTCTACGTGCGTGGGATCCCCTCTCCTCTACTCAGGAAATCCCTCTCTTCGCGAGACACCTGTCCCAGTGAGACCCCTCTCCCTGTTTTGTTGTTGTTGACATTATGTAACTTCCCACGGCTGTCTGAAGTCCATCCAGTAGTGGTCTGCGAACTCTGTGATGTCAGATCTCTGATGCGGTCTCTTCCGCTGTCTCTCTCTCTCTTTCTCTGCTTCTCTTCTCTCGCGATCTCGACTCCGGAGGCGATGTTGTCTCTCGCCTTTCGTCCGCTCTTCCCACGACGCGTGCTGTCCACTTCCTGGTTGCGTCTTTACCTTGAGCAACTGCAGCCGCAGCATCGCTCACCCCTGGCGTCTTTCCGTATTTCGCAAATCCCTTTACCTCTCTCACTCCCAACACACTTCGTTCCACAGACCTCTCCCTGAGACCTCTTCCCAATCTCGAAACGCTTGTTTCCCACACGACCCCTCTTCTCATGACCCCCATTCCCCATCGAGATCCCTCTACCCATGATCCTTTTCTCTCCCGGCCAAATGCCCCTGCCCCAGATCCATCCCTGCCTCCGAGATGCATGCTCTGCTCTTCATGTTCTCTCTCTAGCTATCCGCGATTCTGCTCGTAGCCCTCCCTGAGATCTCGCTCGAGCCACGCACCTTCATCCCTGCCTGTGCCCCCGCCACGCGCCGCTGACCCCACGTCTCATCTCCCGTCCTCTCCCCCCAGGATGTCTCCCATCACCTTCGGCTACGAGAAGCTCTACGGGCGCGCAGAGTCGAGCCTGGGCAGCGGCTCGGACGACGACAGCAGCAGCAGCAGCAGCCTCTGCGGGGGCTCGATGAGCCTCTCCCCGCACGACTCGCTCGGGCTACTCTCCCCGTGCTCTCCGGGCTTGGCCTGCGACTCGGAGCCACTGAGGCTGCTCACGCCCGAGCGCGAGGACGCCGCGCGGCCTCGCGGGAGGGCGAGAGTGCGCAAGGGGAGGCGCGGGATCGGAGCGGGAGGAGGCGACGTGGGAGTCGGGCTCACGGCGGTTCCGGGGGTCGTGAAGAGGACGCGGAGGATCAAGGCCAACGATCGGGAGCGCAACCGAATGCACAACCTCAACGACGCCCTGGACGCGCTCCGCCGCGTGCTGCCATGCGGTGGCGAAGCGGAGGACCTGGCCTCCATCAGCAGCTCCAGCAGCAGCAGCAGCAGCTCCAGCAGCAGCTCCAGCTCCAGCAGCAGCAGCAGCTCCAGCAGTGGTGCCGGGGGTGACGCGTCCAAGCTGACCAAGATCGAGACGCTGCGCTTCGCCTACAACTACATCTGGGCGCTGACCGAGACTCTGCGGCTCGCCGACTTCGAGCTGATGACCTCCGCGGGGTCGCACGGAGCTGCGGCGGCTGCGGCCCCTCCTGGGGCGACCCCGGCGGGGGGCCCCCTCTGTGGCCCCCCAGGCCTCGATCATGCTCACGGGCACCTGCAGCAGCAGCAGTTTCAGCTGCTGCAGCAGCAGCAGCATCGAGTGGCGATGGCAAGAGCTCTAGAATTCATCTGACCCCCTTGAACTGTCGTCATCACCACCACCATCACCGTCGTCATCAGCTTTGGTCAATCCACTGCTGAATGAGGAAGACCCCCCCCGCCCCGCCCCCATCGCAAACTGACGCCACCAGCGGTCACGATCCTGCGATGCAGTAATCCGCGCCGGCGCCTGCAGAGGGACTCGTCGCATCGCTCCGACTTTACCGGTGGACGTCCTCCCGGGGCGGACGCGGTCCCATTCCTGAACTCGACTCCTTACAGAGACTCAACCAACTTCTCTTTGAGAGGCAGAGCTGGGGAGGGGGGCTGGGGGAGGCTCTCGTCTCTGCCAAACTAAACGTTTCGCTTGGGCGTTCGTCCGTGTCGCCCATACCTCGCCCGTCCTTCCATTGATTCACTATCGCCGGTAATTGCCTTAAAACAGCGCGTTCCTCGATGCGTCGCGCGCGGTGCTAAGCTAACTGCTGGAGACGTCTGTACACGCGCTAGAAGTGTGTTCACCCGCGACTCGCGGAGAGAGTCGGAATATTTGTTTTGTACACACGTATATTTATTTTATTTAGGGCCACGGCCGTCCGGCACGAGCACAGTGCCATGTAAAATGTCCATCGTGGGCGAGCGGGAGCCCACGCGGCCTCGATGCCTCCATCGAGGAGCCCTGCTTGTTTTCTCATCGAGATTGGACGCGGCGACGAGTTCGCGATGCACCTCCTCGCCCTCTCCACACGCGCACTTTGCTCTCTCTCTCGACGAGCCGACGGGGGCCGGGGGGGCGGGGGGGGCGGGGGGGGGGGGGCAGGGAGGGAGTGGGCGGGTGAGAGATGGGGGATCGGAGATGAGAGACGTGTGGGGAGGGGGCGGGAGGATGGAGGATCAGAGGGTGGGAGCCTGGGGGGGCTGTGTGTGTGGAGGTGGGGGGCGGCAGGGGGGGGGGTCGTTTAGTCTTTTGTGTGGCGAGCCCGGGAGCGTTGGAGGTTAAAAAGTAATTTGTTGGCGGCGCGCGGCACGGAGGGAGCGTGACCAATCAGCATTGAGAACGAGATTCACAAAGGGACCCCCCCCCTCGGCCCCTCCCCCAGCCCCCCCCAACCCCCGCGCGTCCATCATTCGCTCTACCCCCCCCCCCCAACACAACCCCTTCTAAAATACACCCCCACCCACCTCCCTCCATCCATCTAACTCCATCCATTTCACCGCATCCACCCCACCCCATCCATCCCACCATCACTTCACGTCTCGCCCCTCCACCCCTTCTCCCATTCTCTCGTCCTCATCCATCCCTCGATCACTCCCCATGCAGACCTCCCATCCATCTCTCTCCATCCCGACTTCTCCCAGCCGTCACTCCACTCTCATCCCGAGTCCCAATCTCTCTCGCGCTCTCTCTCGCTGTCTCTCTCCCGTAGTCTTAGAAGTAACACGACGCCCACTCTCCTCCTCCTCCTTTTCGCCTCCTCTGCCCGGTCCCTCAATTTGTCCGCATTAACCACGCGTCAGCGCCCGTTACCCGGAGCCTGCCCGAGCCGCGCGCGTGCACGCGCGTGTGTGTGCGCGTGTGTGCGTTCGTGTGTGCGCGCGCGTGTGTGCGCGCGCGTGTGTGTGCGCGCGTGTGTGTGTGTGCGTGTATGTGTGCGTGTGTGTGCGTGTGTGTGCGTGTGTGTAGAAAGTTGTAGTGGCTGCGGCTATCGCGCCGAGCCACGAACCCCCGGCTCACGGCCACCAACCCCAGTGACTATTATCTGAACCGGTCCTGGGCCTCCCCTAGGTCGACTCAGCCTTTAAATTAGTACCTAATGTGGTGTAAAAAAATCAGCACTGGGGAGACAAAGGCGGCCGGGCATGGTGCTGGGCATCCACCCCCTCGTGTGCCACGTCGGCCTTCATAGGTGCTCGATAACAGCACTTGCCCAAAATAGTCTGTTAAGGTTGTACGGGGGATCTTTGTCTTTGTGTCCGCGTGGGAGCGTGCACAGCAGTGACCGCCCCGGCGCTCTCAGGCGCTTCCTCTCTCTGCCCCGATGTTTACGTGTAAACATTCCTGAAAGAGACTTCTCGGCCGAAACGTTCACACTTTCACCTATGATGGTGTGACGTGTGAGTATGATGGTTGGAGCACGTGCTGTTGGTGAGCACCTATTAAGGCCAGCTGTTTATAAGAGTGTGTGTGTGTATCTATGTGTATGTGTGTATGTATGAGTGTTGGCGCAGTGGTTAGCGCGCTGCGCTACGAACCCGACCATCCGGGTCCTGTGCCTCCCCTAGGTCGGCTGAGCCTCAAACGATAGCCTGGTGCAATGTGTAAACACCACCACTAGGGAGACAAAGGCGGCCGGGCTTGGTGCTGGCCACCCACCCTTTCGTGTGCCGTGCCGGCCTTCATTAGGTGCTCGCTAACAGCACTTGCCCCAAAAGTCCTTTAAGGCTATACGGGGGATCTTTGTGTGTGTATCTATGTGTGTGTGTAAAGATTCAGAGTTGTATTTTTACACGAAGATGAAGCATTTGTTTAGACGATGACGCTTGTCCGAATGTTGATGCTGTATTTTATTATCTGATCAAATAAGAATTAATTATATTATTAATAATAATAATAAAAAAACATTTTTACACAAAAACTCTTCTCAGTCGTGGCTCCACGTTATTCAAGGGTCAGCGCTGAAAGCGCGGGGAGCAGGTTTTACACCACACACCATACACAACACCACACACCATACACACTACACCATACACAACACCACACACCATACACACTACACTACACACAACAAACACCACACACTACACTATACACACTAAACCACACACAACACCACACACCACACAATACACACTACGCCATACACACTACACCACACACCACACCATACACACTACACCATACACAACACCACACACCACCCTACACACACCACACAAAACACACCACATCACACCGTACGCTCCACATTACACCACATTGCACGCCACACCGCACCAATGCCCCACACACCGCCCCATACAATGTACAGCGCCACAACACGCACTGCACGGTTCGCGAGTCAAAGTCACGGTCGCGATTATTTGAAAATGAGCGCTGTATGTAGCGGCCTCTAGTGGTTGAAGGGAGTTACGTGAACCATTATGTACTACTCAGACGACACAATAATGTCATAAGAAAAACACAAAACGAATGTTCGGTCACGTGTTCATCCATTAAGGTCGCTAGGGGTGCTCAAAGGTCAGAGAGCTGACTGGGACACCGCTGGGCAGCCCGGTCACCAGTGGTTCGCGCAGAGACACACAGAGACCCATAGAGACCCATAGAGACCCATAGACTCACACAGAGACCCATAGAGACCCATAGAGACCCATAGACTCCCATAGAGACCCATAGACTCCCACAGAGACCCATAGACTCCCATAGAGACCCATAGACTCACACAGAGACCCACAGACTCACACAGAGACCCATAGAGACCCATAGAGACCTATAGACTCCCACAGAGACCCATAGACTCCCACAGAGACCCATAGACTCCCATAGAGACCCATAGACTCACACAGAGACCCATAGACTCACACAGAGACCCATAGACTCCCAAAGAGACCAATAGAGACCCATAGACTCCCACAGAGACCCATAGATACCCATAGACTCCCATACAGACCCATAGAGACCCATAGACTCCCACAGAGACCCATAGACTCCCACAGAGACCCATAGACTCCCATAGAGACCCATAGACTCACACAGAGACCCATATACTCTCATAGAGAGCAACAGACTCCCTTAGAGATCAGCAGACTCTCATCGAGACCCACAGACTCGGAGACCCATAGACTCCCATAGAGACCCATCAAGTTCCATAGAGACCCTTAGACTCCCATAGACACCCACATACTCGGAGACCCATAGACTCCCATAGACACCCACAGACTCGGAGACCCATAGACTCTCATAGAGACCCACAGACTCGGAGACCCATAGATTGACAAAGACTGAGTTGTGGTGAAGGCGGGTTCTCAAGTGCAATGAGTTGATGGCCACAGCCCGATCACCAGTGGCCGCACTCAATCCCCAGTCACATTAAGTAGCCATGGCAAGACGCCTCCTTGCCATGGTGTCCATCCACATATTTGTTTAAAAGTATTCTTGACACATCCCATCAGTCACGGATAACATCAGTGGCGAGCGGTACCCTAACTGGTTCTGAGTCTTCCCTGTAGGTCGCTTGAGAGATGGAGAGACAAAGGTGTCCGGGCGTTGTCCTGGCCACCTACCCCCTCGTGTGCTGTTCTGGCCTTCATTAGGTGCTCGCTAACAGCACTTGCCCCATTTGTCTGTTAAGGCTATACGGGCGGGGATCTTTGTATGAGTGTGTGTCGCGTCCTTCACGAGCCTCCTCAACAGAGGCCGATCTTGACACCGCTGGTACCGGTCATCTGCAAGTCCACTCAGCTCCACATCCTCCTGTAGCGCATCAGTCCACCTCTTCTCTAGTACGTGCCCGTTTAGCTCCCCCCCCCCTACTCGGCCAAACAGAAGCTGCTTGGGCATGCGGGCCAAGGCGCTCTCGCCTGTCGAAGGAGCTCACCGAGGGGACTGTGTCCAGATCTTGTGAGCCCCTCACACAATGAACCGGGGATGGTTCGTGGAGACAGGCCCAGCCTCACTGTTTCAAACGGGCACAGATGTTATTTTAGAGGGCTCCAGCATTTTGCAAGCGCAACGAAGGGAGGGTATAGCTGCGGCCGAGAATCCCTGGGAGATTGGTGTGGGGCGAGTGGCCAGGCAGCCGGCTAAAGTTGTCGTGACGATGGCGGTGGTGGTGGTTCACGCTCACAGGTCACGCAGGAGAGGGGGTGCAGGGGGCGGCGGGAGGCGGGGGGAGGTGGATTGGGGGGCCAAGGCCCTCGTTTGTGGCCTGGGGCGGCTGGCGGGGGGTCAGGGGGAGGGGCGGGCGGTGGGATTATTACCCCGCCCGCCCCTCCCCCCTCTCCTCTGTCTCCCTCTCCCCACCTCTCCTCTCCCCTGAGCTCTCCCCGTCTCCCTCTCTTCATTTCTCTCCGACTCAGATTACGTTGTGCATGGGCAGTAACGAGCAGTGCAGACACATCCGCCGTTGTACTGTACCTCTGTGGTGCAACGTAGACGCTCCCCGGCCTTCGCCAACCCGCAGTGACCAGCGTGGGGAAGTATGGACAAATAATCCCCCACGAGCCGCGCGGCGTGGGGAGACCCTCATCCAGCAGTGGATTGACAAAAGGTCTCTGTCTCACTCATCCAACTCTCTTATCTCTCTCCAACTCTCTCCTGTTCGCGTCTCCCCCCACTCTTCCCTAACTTTCCCTCTTTGCTCTCATCATCGTCATCACCACCATCACCATCATCATCAATGAGCCGTGATCAATCCCATGCTGACGAAGGCCTCCCCAAGCCGTCGCCATCTCCCACGACCCTGCGGGAGTAACACTCCACCCAGCGCCTGCCCACACACTCATCTCATCCCTCTCCTCTGCCATCCTCGCGTTGCGCTCGTTGTCCACTCGTCCCGTCTCTCTATCTCTACTCGTCTCTCCCCATGTGACTCGCCCTGCGTGTCTCTCTTTGCCATCTCTCTGCCAACGCTTCCCTTGTACGTATGAATGTTGAACTTCTTTCGCACTGTACGTAGCCAACCGCGCTAATCGGAGGTGCGGGGTAAGGACAACAAACTAAACACAAGAAGCAGTTCTAAAGGAAATAGTTTTCAATTTAGATTTA